ATACTTGTTTATTTATATTTTGTTACCTTTCTTTGAGTGAAGGCTCACTTGTCTGAATTTTTTTTTTCATGGAATTCTTGTCATTTACAATAACATGCATTTATTGAAAGCAACAAAGGGTTGGAGTATTGAAGTTGGAGAGAAAACTTTCTTGACTATACTTGTCATATTTTTTTTTTTTTGATGATTTTGGAGTTCAAATGAAGAAGTTATAGAGGATTGAAGTCAACACATTCAAATTTAAGGCAATAAGTAAGTGATTTTATTCATAGTAATAGTTTGAACCATATCTTAAGATTTTAGAAGAATTTTTGACTAAAATCTTTTAGAGAAGGTAAATTATTATTTTAAAAAGTGATACATACAAATTTTGTTGCATTTGAGTACTTAGTTTGTAACATATGAAGAAATTTGCAAGTGCATATATTAATACTAGGGTTTGAAGCTATTTTTAGGATTTTGGTGATATCGTAAGATCCGCAACAAATTTGCTGTTGAAATTTATTCTGGTAGTTGTTAGAAATATATTAATACTTCATATTAAATTTTAAGTAAGTTTGGATGGTCAGAACAGGAGTTATGAAGTATTAAAGTTCGGGAAAATTTTGACATAAGGATATACAAGGATTTAGAGAATTTTATCATATTTTGGGGATTGTTGGTTACTTGAGGCTTATGTATTTGGTGTAATTGCTCCAAAAGAGAAATTTTATATATAAACTTAGAGCTTCCCTTATTTTGAAGCTTGATTGAGTAATTAGTGATAGCCAAGAGCCTAATGCTTTCTTGAGGTGAACTCTTTCTACCTCGACAATGATTTGCAGACACAACCTTGGTTGAGAATTGGGACTTCTTTTTGCAGACAATTTTATTTACGATGTAGCAAACTCAAAACTGAACCAAATCAACCAAGAGAGAACTATTCCAATAATGATATTTTTCTTTGGATGTCCTCGCGTAGATTACAATGTATTTAAGCAATGAGTCAAGGACCTTAGAATCATGCGGATGATGCAAGTATACATGGACTAGCAATGGGAGGAATCAATAGAAAGCAATACAAGGATCGCCGGTTCACAACAGTATTGGATTACAAGTTGATGCTACAGCACCACTCCGGTGGCGTCCATCATCCCTAGCAAGCTGCAAATACAAGAAGAACATGGCAATATGAAGTGGGAGTTAAGTGGTGGGAAGCATTTGCAGAGTGAAAGATTGTTGGAGTGAAAGACAGACATGAGCTAGGATGTGAGATAGTGATAGATCACAATTGGAAAGCAATGCGTTCGTTTTCATGTGTAGGACATCTTTGGTTACCACACACTATAACATGGTGTGTGATTAAAAGAAGTGGCTAATTTAATATTTTTTTCTAATATTAGCCTTTGATTCTATTTTAGTTTTTTAATTGTTATAACTTGATTTGTTGGTAAACTAAAAAGAAAAAGACTTGACAAAAGTTATTTTTTTTATTTTTTTTTTATGAATATTTTCTTGCTAATGTTGCATAAATATAACTATGAAAGACTATTAAATTTTAAGGAGTGGCTAATATTGGAACAAAGATTCAGCAAATTTTGTAACTTAATATTTGTCTATGCACCTCAATTCTAAAAAAATAGTTTATCAAGTTATTTTGTTTGCATCTTGTAATGAAGTAACCCATTTCATATATTTTATTTTTGTAAATATCATAGTAGAATACTAATTATCTAAATGATTTTCATAACAAAGTAGTCCAATAAGAATTTTAGTACCAATCCAAAATTGATTATTGAGATGTATTGTTTATTGAATAAAATGAAATAATTGATTCATTCAAATACATCAAAAATTACATTTTGGTATTATAAATAGAAGCCTAAATTTATATCAATTTAAAACTTCTATAACTTACAACATCAATATTCAGATACAAGTGAAATTAACCAATCAAGAGAATTACTAAGTATACACCATCTATTATCCATTGAAACACCCATTAAAGTACTTTAACATATGAACAATGCAATGCCTTTATTATAGACACAATTCAACAAACTGCTTATATTGTCTACATGCAAATTGGAACAAAGACTATTAAATTAGCAAACTTGATTAATACATAATCTTTACCAGTTTCATAATGGAATAATAAAATCATCCTTTTCTAAAGTTTATAGTACCTGAAATTGATATAAATTTTTTAAAAAATATTAATATAACTTATAAAAATTAAATAGAAATACTTCTTTTAATATAAAAATCAATTAATCACTTTTAATAAGTCACAAGAAAAGTTATACCAACCGTTGTTGCTGAAACCATTGCCTTTTAATAAACAATGATAACAAGACACCATTACCTAAATTATAATATTCTAACACTTAAGCTTCATACTCTAAACTAAGTACCGAGTTTGTTATTATGCTATTTTATTTTATTTCAATCTTAATCGTTGTAACTTAAATTCGTTTGTTTCATCAATTGTAATTGGATTCTTAATTTCTTCTTTGTCTATTCTAACACTATATATATATATATATATATATATATATATAAGATTCTTTAAGTGTTACTTTCATTTACAAAAAAATAAATACATCTAAAGAACATTTTATTGTGTCAACATTTAATGTCAAATCTTCATGGAAATTTTAAAAATTATGTATATATATATATAATTTTTATAAAAAAACGAACAAAGTAAATATTTTTTTGTAGATCTTTAGCACTGCAAATACTCATACTGCTAGATAACTCCTAAACTTTAAAGGGTCTTCTTATTCTACCTACATATGCGTTTCTAAAACACTATAGACAGAGGTAGCATCAAATCAAGCCAAAATCAACACATAATGTTGAATCAAGTTGCAATATTCAAATATTACATTGCTTTTTAAAATTGAAAATAGACATGAAAAGACAAATTTTTTGTAAATTTATTAAATTTCTATATACACCTTTCAAATTTCAAATTTTATTTTATTTAATTATTTTTTTGAATTAATTAAAAATAGTAACTAATATTAATTTTTAACTATAAGAATAAATGTATACCTTTTAAAAACACCATGAGTTAGTAGGAAGGACAATAAGTTATGGAGGTAAACATAAATATATATACATACGTACATACACTTAAAATCTGGATAATTTATTCTTTAATGTGCTAAAGTAGTTTCTAAGAATTGAGACAATGGATTTTTTTTATAACATTAACCAAAATTTTTTACAAATTTATTAATTTAGACATAAGTGATGTATAAGCTACATTTTTTGTTTGAAAATATTTTGACAAATTTGAACTTAAAATAAAATTTGACAATGCATTAAATATCATTTGTCCAATATGTAGTTAAGTATTTATCCCTAATTCATGTGCAACCTTTTCTAAATAACCTAACCAATATGTCAAATATAACTTTTTTTTTGTCTAAATATTTACACAAATATTACAATATTATTATTTTAGAATCTTTTCAAATGTTTTAACAAATTTTTGCAATAATATAATAACAAACTTAAAATAAAATGTCTGAATATGATCTATAACAAACTTGTTTGTGGTACTTTTGTAACCATTTAAAAAAAAAAAATCGACCTTCTTTATTTCATTGGTTAAAATAACTGATTGAATACTGTGAAAAAATTCAATGTATTTATTTGGAATCGAATCTTGCATTGAAAGAATTTAAACTCATTCTATCAGCTTTAAATTGTTGAGTATTATTATTAAAATTTATTGCATAAAAACATATGTATAAAAATATACAACTCCAATATTGGTTTAAGTTATTAATCAGTACAAGTTTTTACTGAGACAGCATTATGTTTTTGAAAGAAAGTCATGAAAGCAAAATTGTATGTTTTTTAAAATGATTAAAGAGTGTTCGGAATATTATATTTGCATATCACATTTCAGTTTTTTGTATTATCTTTTTTATTTTTATTTTTTTTTAATTCAGATTTTATTTTTTTGAAATATCACAAACCTTGATCCCTATAAAAGTATACATGCTTCCTGTACTTAGACACTTCAAAGTACTATAGTCACAACAATTACCAATAAAAGTGTTTTTTCAACTTTAAATTCCAACTTTTGTATGTCATTCTGAAGTCTTCTACAACACATACGATAATTTAAAGTAAATGTTCATTTATGATGTAATATTTTTTTAAAAGTAGTTTAAGTGTATTTGGTATTATTTTAAGATTTGTAATGTTTTTTTCTTCTCATGTTACAAATGAAGTTTCACCTTTTTCCTTTTTTTTAACAATCAAATAGAAAAAGTTAAAATATATATTTTTTCAAATATTCCTTTATACAAAATTTACTTATATAAAATAAAACAAAGTTATCAAAATAACGTAGTTCTAAAGCAACTATGTATCAAATTAAGATAATGCATTTTATTCTTGAGGTTCAAAGTTCACTTGTAAAATCTAATTGAACATTGACAATCTTCCAACACCAATGATATATGAATATATATATGAAGATAGTTTATGTATTACACTTTTATATACTTATTCCATAGTATAAGAATTTGACCAAAAAGCTAACATGGCACTTACATTGTGGGTGTACGGCATACATATCAAGATTATTAAATGTTTTAAAAAGTCGGTAAAATAAAAATGGGACCCACACAATTACACCATGACTAACCCATGACATTCTCTTCCTTTCACTTTCACTTTCACTTTAAAGTGTAGAGTGTTCATGGGCAACGTGACTTGTCCGCCACTCGTGGCTCAGCCCTTCCTTCCACCTAGGACACCCATATTCTTCACATAACGTAATTTACCTTAAATCCGCGCGGCGGCTTGTAAATCTTCGTAATAAGTTGATTCAATGAAAAGGGTCACGAAACCTCCTTGCTTCTACGGTCTCCGCAATTCAATACACGACTACCATGTGGCTGTGTTGCCGAGCTTCATTATCATACTATTTGGAAAACTCTAGATTTTCAATCTAGGAGCCTTGAAGATGACCCAGTCCTCGAGAGCGAGAGACGACATTAACTTAAACGCTTTGTCTCGTCTTGTCTTGTCCGAGACCGCCATACCCATGAAACCCTAGGAACGGGGTCTGAAACCTTTCAAGCGCGTCTTGCACAGAGCGGGAGGCTTGGAATTAACCAGGATTTCATGGTTGTGGCATCCAGGAGGTGAAGCACGAGTGTTGCCGTGGTCTCAGATCTCGAAGTCCGGTGTCCTACAAGCGTATTTGGAGCTCGGAGGTAGTTTTTCGGAGGACAATTATTGTTACCTCGCTGGAAAATTGTGAGGTAGAGAGGAGCTCTAAGTCTAGTGAGATCTGGAGGTTTCAAGGCGGTGGTGGAATTCGGGGACGGTATTGAGTTTGGGAGGCGGGATGAGGTGAAGGGATTGAAGAGGGATTGAAGGAGGGATTGAAGGAGGCATTGTAGGAGGGGGAGGTTTGTTGAGAGGTTCTGAATGGCGGTAGGCGAGGGGTGGTATGAGTGATGGATGCATTGGAATTGGTGGTTTGGATCAGCTCCTTGGTGGTGGGGGTTTTCGTTTGTGATTGTGTAAGATTGGTTGTGGTAGCGAAGCAAGGTGTTACTCGTAGGGTAAGATGTGGCTATTCTATGCATTGGCGGGGCCGATCGCCCTGGGCATGGTCACGGGTGTTTTGCAGTACTTCGCTGCTCGCACTGTGACCTTGTACGTCCGTTTAATTGTAGGTTACACTTGGTTCTGCACTATCTCCATCATCGTTCTCGTGCCCGCAGACATCTGGATTGTAAGTGATTTATCTTTTTCCTTCCTTCGGTTTTCATTGTCTAGTAGGTATTCGTCTGTTCGTTTGTGTTCGATTAGGGTAGCGCAGCGGATTTTGCTTGTTCTCTGGGTATGTAGTTGTTGAATTCTAGTTTTGGATCAAGCTTCCTTCCGGCTGCTCTTGCTCGCCGCTGAAATATGCATTTCAAAGTCATGAAAAACTTGCTGGTGCATTTGTTCGTCAAATCATCGAGACCTAGCCTTTTATCTGATTCTCGACGTTCCTGGATGGAGGTGGTGTTCCTAGAAATTTTGCATGAATTCATCTTGAAATGATCTGGCGTGCTTCTGTGTTCTCTTCTTTACTTGGATCTAGATTCACGTGCAGTTATTCCTGGAATACGTGGGGTGTGAAATTTCCTGATGCGTTCCTTTATTCATAAGAGTGCTGAATGGGAAGTCGATAAGAGTTTGTCATACCGGATAAATGATTCGCTAGTCACTGCAACTGTTGGTAGTTATATTTACTTGTGATTGTTACAACAAAGTAGAGAAATTGACCCTCGATACGCAGTAATTAGTTTCAACAATATGCTGCCTGTGAACGAAGCGCTTTGGCTTCTGTTTCTCTTCATTCAAACTGCGTTTCAATGGATGTTCGAACGCGGGGGATGTTTTACACCCTTTTCTGCTCGAATTAAATGGTCGAGGGTTGTTACATTTGTGGAAGGTTTTTACAATGGGTCGAAGACTATGAATGAAGTGAATACTTTTAGAACGCTGACCGGAAGAGGTGTAAGTTTAGTGCAAGTAGATCATTGTAATGCGAAACCGTGCGTGTCATTTCCTAAATTCTTCACGATGTTGGGTCCACTGTGGCATTCTATAAGCAGTTTCAAGCTTGTGAATTGAATCAGTATCTACTTGTGATTTTGCGAGGCAGACAATCTCTTCTTCGCATAGCAGCAAAGCTAGTATCGCCGTATTATGGAGCTGGTCGTATTGGAGTACGTTCTTTCTTACCTGGTAAGTTTATAGGGTGTGGTGTTTTACGCACAACGCTGTTTCTTTCCTTCCTGCATAACTGGGATTTATTCAAATTATTTGTACAGACTGTTTTTGCTTATACTTGTTGTTCGATGCAGGGCTATTGTTCCAACGTTGCAAGGCTACGAGGATGCCGGAGATTTTACAGTGACAAAACGGTTCAAGACAAGCATTCATCAAAATGTTGTCTTATATGCGTCAGTTGGAGGTGTTGGAGCTTTGGGAGTTCTGATCATGATCTTCATGAACAAGTTGCATTGGTGTGTTTCCTACACTCCTTTATAGGAAATCTATGAATAGTTTCTAGGGTCAATTTGAAGGGCAATGTCGTTTTGTGATTTCAGTCATTCTGTCCACGGTGCCACAGAATCGACCCGTGGTGCTTGTCCATGCAAACCAACGATTACTGCAGTGTGCTCATATTTCCCCAGTTTTTTTTCATCTGCACTTTTATTGTAGCTTTGGCAGCCTTGATTGCATATTGATTGGTTTGGACGCATCTATATATGTGTTCCAGGAATGGACTCTTAGCGTTGGCTATTGCCTCCTCCAACACTTTTGGACTAGTCACAGGTGCATTTCTTTTGGGTTATGGCTTGGTGGAGATTCCCCGTGGCATGTGGCGTAACGCAGAGTTGGAATTTCGTCAGAAATATTTGACACACAAAATTTCAAGATGTGCTGTTAAGCTGGACGATGCCCACCAAGAGTTGTCCACAGCCATTGTGGTAAGTCTTTAAGATGTCTATAATTTGGTGGTTGGTTGTTGAGTTTCAAAGCTTCAGTTTTCCATTCGTGAAATGGAAGATGGATATTTTTTGTGTCGATTGAGGATCAAACCTGAGTCCTTGAGTTTTATTTTATTTTATGTTTTGAACCCTTCTGTTGTTTAGAAGGGTGAAGGTCACGAAACGTTGTTGACTTATGAGCTTCTGTTCGTCACCCGGACAATATGTATCCGCAGACTCCTTGTCAGTGTTAAATCAGAATCTTGAGTACGCTATCCAAGATACTGGCTATTCATAATTTCTAACCTTTTTTTTGTTTTTTTGTGTAATCTTGGGGTAGATTGCACAAGCAACGTCCAATCAGATGTCAAGGCGCGACAGGATGCGGCCTTACATGGATGTGATCGACGATATGCTGGCAGAGATGGTTAGCTCTTTTTGTTCCATTATTCATTCGTGAAAACAAGAACTTGGACATATCAGTAACAAATAACATTGTGCATAATCAAACTTGCTATTAATCTTCATTAGTGTATCACAATCTTCCATAGCACATACTTGGGTCCTGATGATTGTTTTGATCCTAGGTTAGGGAAGATCCGGTCTTCAAGCCATCTGGTGGAAGAATGGGAGAAAGTGATATGGACTATGATCAGGATGAGAAATCAATGGCTGCACTCAGAAGGCGTCTACGTAAAGCACAAAGTGCGTATAATCGTTACAAAAGGTAAGAAGTGATACTTCTGCCGAAACTTTGGAAGAGTCGTAGATTTGATTGGATATGAGGTGCCTGTTTGTTGCAGTGTGTTTCCTGGTACTATTCAAACCTGTGGAAGGCTGAATTAGACATGTTGCAGTTCCTTTCTCTTCACAACTACAGCGAAGCACTTCGCTGCAAATTTCTAATTTTTAGATACCAGCAGAGATGCTTATCCATCTGACGGCGTGCATTGCTTGGGTTAATGATTTCGACAGCAATGATATCCTGGAACTTATAGCTTCTTTCTGATTCGCAGTGATTACACATCATATGTCTGGGAGGCACTTGAAATGGAAGAGACATTAAAGAATATTCAGCGTGCTGATGGGTACGTTTGGAGTCTTTTTGTGCGTCAGAAGTAGGCTATCAATAATTTATAGTTTGTCGAGGGTTATCTAGTTTGATTATCCTCAAATAGTGCACCGTGAAAAGACCCGCTCACATAAGTATTGGTGAAAGATTAGTTGGCTGAACTTGATAGATATGGTCTTGTTCCTCATTTTGATGCAGTTTGCACGTGAAGAATCTGGAACATTTTGTTCTCATTGCATCGATTAATATATAATTACACTGGTATTGGCCAATCCTATTTTAACCCTTCTAATTTCGAGGATTTCGTTTGGTTGCAGACGATTTGTTTCCACAATTCGACCACCACGTACTGGTCCCTTCGCTAACGTGCTTGATATTGCTGGTAAGCTAATTCTGTATGACGCTTAGTTTGTTGAATAAAAATTACAACATCATCTCCTCAATTTTATCACGCTGGTTGTATATGAATGAGATTATCAGGAAGCACACAGCATGTATATTTCAATAATCCTATTCCCTCACATAATAAGTGATAGTCATAAAAGTGCGATCTGTTCATGTTGTGATCTTTGTGCATCTTCCACATGGCTCTGATCTTCTCGTAGAGATTTGTTATCACTTGTTAGGCATGTTTCTGAAATTTTCTTCAGAAAGCAGCTGATGTCCTCCCAATTGTGAATTTGGTTGCAGAGTATGTGTGGCGTTGCCAACTCAGAAAGAACGTGGTCATGGTTTTAGCTGCCTTGCTGGGAGCCATGTCCGTCGCCATTGTGATGGCCGAAGCTACCCTTGTATTTGAGGCGGATCTCTCTCTCTTGTCGTTGATAATCAGAGGGGTGGGTGATTCGGAAATTTTAGTGCAGGTTAGTCATCATATCTCTTGCTTTCTCACCGGTATTTCACATCTATGTGGTTTGATGCAAAGATGGACTCATCAATAGAGCCATATGTGGTACAACAAGCTTTCATGGTGGCTGCGTTATTTTTTTCTTTTAACTTATTTGAATGATTCTATATGAACATTTATATCAACGAATGGGCGTGACTGTAGCTGATTTGGTTTCAACACCATGATGTAGACTTGGAGACAGTTTTGGTTTGACCTTTGTCAGTACATTGTAGTGCTGAGCCTAAAGGGGAGCGCCTAGCCTTGGAGCTTCTTATGTCTGCTAACAGTCATAATGGCTCCTATATCATGGGACAATTCCTAACGCATGTGCGTGGAATGTTTTGCAGGTGGTTGCATTTGTACCCTTGGCATACATGTGTGTGTGCACATACTTTTCCCTTATCAGGTTGGGAATGATGACAATCTATTATCTGGCGCCCAAGCAAACTAGCTCCGTGAGCTTACTGATGATTTGCTCGTAAGAGGCTTCATCCATTCCCTTCAAATTTCCATTATGTGGCCCTTGTGTATGATTAGAAATGCTTACTTTTGAACAATTAGCGATTTTATTACCTTGGTCGTTGCAGTTTGAGAGCCTTTTACATGCTATTGCGCTCATGTTATCATGAGCAATCGCATCATTCGAACGACCCTTATGCCCGTGTCTTTTTGAAGATAGTTGAGCTCATCTTCAACACACATGCGTGTTAGTTCCGGTCCATGTGTGAATATTTATAAAAACAATCTATATTAAGTGTCCGTGTTGTATTCTTTGATTAGGTTTGTTTGCTTAGAATTTTATGTGGATAGCATTGTTAAGGACAAATACTCTAATGAATTTTTTTGAGAACCTGTTGAGAAGAATAATTTAGGGCATTGGTACGTTTGAAGTAATATATTGTGTTTTTGCTTGTGGTTTAGGATGATTGCAAGATATGCAGCTCCACTTTGTTACAACTTTCTGAGCCTGATCAAGTTAAGAAGTGATCAGAAAACTGTTTTTGAAGAAGTGAGTGCTGTTCCTTTTTTAGGAGCCCTTGTAGTTGACATTTGCAGTTGTCCTTGCAGATTTAGTCTTTATCTATTAAGCAACATTGTGGCATCAAATTTGAGATTTGTATTGCATGTTCACTTCTTTCTTTTGTATGATATTTGTGTAACCCACCCAGTTCAGTGTAAGTTTTAACAAGTATGTTTGTAGTCCTGTGATGAACTAATTCTGATATGGTTGTCGGTGCAGAAAATGGGCTCTATGACAGTTATTCCTTATATCGGAGATGAGCGATTCAACACATTTTACCCAATATTTATGGTGATTTACACCGGGTTACTGGCCAGTAATGTTTTGAACCGTATAATGGACTACTTCGGAAGCTTGCGGTATTTTAGAAGCCATGATGCGGAAGATGGTGAAGGGTTTGACCCGTCGGGGCTTATCATTCTTCGTAAAGGTACCGAAATCATTCAACGGTATCCAATGTGAATCGTAGATGAGTTGTACATTGTGGTTTAATGTGTATACATTCCAGTGAGGTCGTATTTGGGTAATTCTCATTTCGTGTATTATTTTCGTATGAATTTTCAAGTATTATACTTAGCTTTTAAGTTTCTCGATGTTGGCTTCAGTAGTCACGATCCATGCAACAATCGACATTGAGCATTTGCCAATTTAACTTTGCCACTGTTCATGAATCTGCCATCATGAACAGTGGCAAAGTTTTCTGTTTCATGTGCCTCTAATTTTTTTAATAGTTTCTATCTTTCGAAATAAATGCATTAAACAATTTACTAGTTAATAATGATAATGTTAATAATACCTATTATGATTTTGGATTATTGAATGTTAAGCTTTTCATTTTTTAAGGTACTTACCACTTTGATTTTGCTGGTGGACAGAGCGGTCTTGGCTTGAACAAGGTAGCGTGGTAGGAGAGAATGTTGTGCCATTAGCTCGCAACTTTGGTAGTGCTGAGTTGGACATTGAATCTGAAGCAATCCTGGGGAAGGTACCTACCATATCTCATACTTTTCTGAATTCATAGTATATCAAAGCTTAGAGTGCTTCCTACACTGGGTCGAAGTTGCATGAGTTTGGAACATTACTTGCGAATTTTTGATCTTACTATTTGCACTATAAAAAGTCACAAATGTACATGTTTCTGCTGGGATTGCGTGCATTGTGATAGAACATGATGCAACTAGTGTTCTCAACTCACCCTGATTATTGTCAGTGCCGTGTCTCTGGGTCCTTGAGAATCTATGTCGTGTTAGTTTTTTGGTTAGTCTTGAAAGCAGCTGGCTTAGTTCCCTTCTATTTTACTCATTAGATTTCAATACTGTTATGCAGAAGGTGTCCCCGGAGAAGGAGGCTCTTCATCCGAGCTCACGCTTAATTAGTGACAGTAGTGCACCGTCGAAGTCAAAACCTCTTGATGCCCCTGGAAATCGTCAGTATGGACGGGTGGACAAGTCTTCATCCACGGAAGCTATTGCTTCTAAATACGCTTCTCTTCGGAATCCTTCAAAAGCGCCTCCGGGTGGCAATTACAGAGACGCTCCTAAAGATTCGTCTGGAAACACGGCGAGAGCAGCAATACCTTCAACACAATCATCCCAACCCCCAGCATTGATTGACTTGCACTCTGCACCATCAGCAACTCCTCAGCAATTGAATAGTACAGAAAGATCTGGTTTCACGTTGAACTGGGACACAATGAAGACAGGGTTGCAGAATTTTGGTACAAAGCGGTTTGCCCCAATGCGGCAAGACAAAGCAAGTAATCAAGTGCAGCCCTCATCTTCGCAGACATTAGATAGCATTTTTCAGGGTCTCAGCAAAAATCGTGGAGCGACTGATGAAGATGATGGTCTCGACTTGCGATTGTTACGATAGTATGCGAGCTAGTCCTTTTTGTAGTTGCATCATGTTTCTTCGAATCTTTGCAAGGTAGAATCTTAGATCTTTGCAAGGGTTACAGGGGTGTAGCAGTAGGAACATTCTTTGTTAGGAGACGCTACAGTGTCTATTCTCCTCTTGTTTGTAGTGTATCTATACGCCTCAAGGTGGTCGATAGACGTGAGCCCTTCGTACGTGGGTTGAAAGACATTTGAGTTACATGACTAGTGTAATTAATTACTGTTAATTTTATTGCATATGGATTGACATTTTGACAGGCTCTATAGTGTTATATTTTTCTGGATCGGATACTTCTCAGGTATTTAGTGCTGCTCCGAGCGAGTATCATATGGAAAGCAGAAGCAGCTCAGGGAACTCTAGAGACGAATGTAAGCATCGAATCTACAGTACGTATGGTCAGAATAGATTGCAATTAGTCGATTCAGAGCTTGTTAATTAAGTTTAATTTTCAGTAATAGAAACGCAAAACCGGCATGTCGCTAATTTATGCCTCCAGACTTCATTTGATTGCATCTTCTAATCTAAAATAAATCCAAATGCTCAAGTTCCCAAAGGAGAGTTTCTCTACCAAGCGATGGACTTCAGTATGGTTTGTGAACCATGGCCTCTGAAAGTAGGCTTTTGGGTGTAAAGACCCCGTACTTGTAGCTATTTAAGAAATACATATGCAGCATAATGGAATCACCATATAAATTCCATGTAAATTAGCAAACTTAATAAGAAATTGCTTTCTAGAAGTTATTTCTTTAAACTTACTAGCATTTGCCTAAGTTTCTTTGCATATAAAATATCTTTGAAAAAAAAAGTATGATCATTTTTTTATTTGACAATCACTATGTTGCTCTAAATAGAGATAGTGCCAAACAAAGCTATTGTGAAGTTGCTACAAAACTTATAAAAATAAAGAAATCAATTGTGCAGTAAGTGCCAACTTACTTCAAAGAAGTGTGGCAATCACACAAATAAACTACTTTAAAAACATTTCTTGTTAATAGATTCTTTGTGACTCTTGAAACTCTTAATAAAAACACATTGCCAAAATACACATGTAATAATCTTTTACACTATTACAACACCAACTTTGTAGGTCCCTCAAGTTTTTGAAAGGTAATTGTTGATTTGGCCAAAATCTTCTTAATGAACATTATTACAATCTTCCACAAGTACAAACTTGGTGCACAAGCACATATCTTTTGATTAAGATAGGCAAGCATATTTATATAATGAGTCCTGGATCTTGCCAAAGTCTTTGCCCATAGATTCCTATTAAGTGTCTATAATCATCTTGGTCTTTCTTGTTATGTCTTCAATAAAATTTTGCTATCCTTGCAAGTAGAAAATTAAGAAAGTGACATCAAAGGGGAATCTCAAGCTTAAAACTTAAAGTTATGTTGATGGAGAGTGTACAATTTGATAAAAGCCTTGAAGAGTGTACTATTTGTAGAAATTTGGAATACTTTAAATGCACCTTGTGACCTTATATTCTTCATTTGTAGAAATTAAAATGACCATTTGTTTCTACAAAGAAGCCAAAAAGTTCAGAATTTTACAAGTGTATAAAAATATCTTTATTTTAGTGTATTAATTAAATACCAAAATTATATGTAGGTAGAAGTTTCAATCTCATCTTTTTAGTATAAGAAATTAAAATGTCTAAATATGATACAAAAATTAATATAAAAAAATATCTATTATAATAAAAATATATCCAATGTTAAAGAAGAAATTATAGTAGTGTTTAAAAATTGAATATCCATATAAATTGAGCATAGTCTCTCATCTTATCTTTAGACATAGATTTAATAGAAACTAAACTAGTACTATCTTTGGTCACTGTCAAAATTTGTAAAGACATTTAAAATGATGTTGTAATTCTAAAATACTTATTAATCAATTCAAATTAATGAAGATTATTTAAATTAATATAAAATCTTGAAATATCAACATTATCACTACTACAAGTTGCAATATTGAAATTGGAAGAATTAAATATGTCTTCTATTAATAACATTATCTTTTGTAATCTTGTCATTTATATTATTAAGTTAAAATAACATCTTTCCTATGATAATATTAGCAACAAGTTTTGTCTACAAACAATTAAATAGAAGCTTTTAAAACCAACTAAATACGCTTAGCTTAGAGTTCTCTTTCTAATATTTGGTATGCTTCAACTCCATTTTCTTCTAATATATATTGGTATTAAATTAATTCTTAAAGTACATCACATCTGTATTATGCTAGTATTTTACACCAATCTTCTATTTGTATTTGAAGTGAATAATATATATATATTGATACCATTTCTTTTGATGTAGAATTAAAATTGCACACTTTTACATCAAATTGAAGAAAATACTCTTGTTTGTAAAGTTTTAAATATTCTAAGCAATTGAAATAAAATTAATTTGTTAAGGACAATCTATTAGAATGACTACTACTCAAAATATTTCTAATAACTTAATATGGTTTAAAATGTAAGGCAAAGCTTTGTTTAAAAAATAACACTTCAATTATGTATGTATATATATATATATATATATATAATTTAAAATATAAATATCATTAATAATAATAATAATAATAATAATAATAAATAGATTATTAAAATTTAAATAGATAATTAGAACTATAAATGTTTAAAGATTTATGAATAATTCAACATTATAAAGTTTATAATATTTTTAAAAATCATGCATATAAATATATATATATATATATATATATATATATATAAATTATAAATAATTTTACTAAGACTCTTATATATGTAAATATAATTTTTTAATTTGATTAATAAACATATCATGTTTCAACAAGCTCTAATAGATATTAATTCAATCAACTTTCTAAACTTTAAGACTATAAAATCTAGATCCTAAACCTCTACTACTTGGTTTTATAGATGTACATCTTATAGATTATAAAAAAAAATATTAATAATTAAAAGAATTTTACAAATGATTTATTCTTTTTTATTTTATTTGAAAATATTCATAAAAAAATAAAGTTAAACACAAGAGGGTTCATTATTATTATTATTTCTTTTAAAGGAATGTAATAATTAGAAAAATGTATGTTAAAGTGAGTTAAAAATCCTTTTCATTTTTCTAAAAATTATGTCTATCAAATCGATTATTCCAAAAATATTGCTATTAATTACAAATAACAGTAAGGTGCATGCAATTAAAAAAGAGAGTAAATGATTCATTCATTACCTGCTAGTTGACACAACTTTTTAGACATCCAGGACAATAATGTAAACAATTCAAATATTTTAATATTCAATTTTTTTATATACTCATTTATTTAACATCCGTTTATTTTGTTAGAATGGTACCGTTTTCTTCGATGTGCCAAACTTGAAACTTAATTCTGACTCGATTTTGTTATAATCACCGTGAAATAAATCATGTTGTGGATATAATAAACTTTCACTTCAGACATAGTGACAGCCAACGTTCAGTTCTTGACATCACAGAATCATGGCTTCAAACAGCTCTTTGAGCACATTTCTCTTTATCGATGCAACTCCAATCGAAGCTTCACTCACCAAAAGAATGCCAGTATTTTCATGCTTGGGGCCTATGCTATGTTGCGGTGATCATAGTGTTGCTTGAATTCGAGATCGTCTTGCTTATAGAACAAAAGCAGCCCCTGCACATGGCTCTGCAGGTGACAGTGTGTAGATCTGTGTCCGTGTTTCCGTTGGTGGCCTCGTTTCTCGTCTGTCTTTTGTTGATGAATGCTTCATCACTGGAAGAGTTGTATAACACCTCATAACACTCTTTTGCACCTTACCTTTGGCGTCTATTGCAGTAATTCCGACTGGGTTCCATTTCTGCAAGACTGAGGCTTCAAGTTGTTAGGCTGAACTTTACTACAGATTTGGAAAAGTTGACAAATCCCATCTCCAGTCGCGACAGATGCTTTTTTACTTGGCACCAACAAAGTCTCATTTCATTACAACAAGCTAGTTGCTATAGTAGATGGAGATATGATAGCATGGAAAATCATGAGTGAATGCATTCGAGGCTTTGTAAAAGTATGATGAGATAGATAAATTTTGAAGTTGGAAAGTATGCGACTTCTGTCTTCAGTGATGCTCCCGTTTCAGGCCTTCGTGTTGAATTATTTGGTCTGTTCATGCAGGTGTTCGATGTGTCCACCCATATTGTGGAAGCACCCTTCTTGTTGAATCTGCCTTGCTATGCAAAATATTCATTATCCATTTGAGCAAGGGATTGTGTGTTGCAACACGCACAGCGTTTGGAATTAGAGTTTTCTTCATCCGCAGAGTTGCCATGGTTGTTATTTATTTCGTAGAATAAACTAAAGAGATGTTTCAAAAATCAGTAGACGATTCGTGGTTGTGATGCATTTTTAAGATCAACGACTATAGAATTGAAAGAAAATGTCTAAAATCTCAAGGATTCTAGATTCATTAGAGCTATTATAATTATATCAATCATTATTGATTAATTAGTGGTGAAGCTTCTGTGTAACATCAATACTTGTAACTTCTATTTGTGTACATATCTATATTTAGAAAATTTAAGTATTGACTGGTAATTTTGAAGTGATATATATATATATATATATATATATACACACACATTCACAAAGAAATTTATAGTATTATTAAATTTAATATTACTTCTAATTTTTTTAATGAATATATATTTTTAACTTTGCATGTTTCATGCATATTTAAAGTTAAGATTTTAACAATAGTTAGATTATTGTTTGGTCATTATATGATATTTTTATATCTAAGTCCACCTTTGTACTTTCAAAAATTATTCTTTCTAAGAATAGGCATAAAATATTGCTTATATTTAAGATCATAGAAAAATATTAATTTATATCTATATCTATATATATATATATATATATATATATATAATTTAATTCCAAAATACAAGAATTACAAGTTATTTTTGTTGTTGTTGTTGTTGTTGTTGTTAATATTATTTTATTTATTTTTTAAAACTCTAGAGAATCTATGATAAGAATTAATTTAAGTTACATAATTTTTTATATTGTTACCATTATATATTTTCATTGGCAGTAAAATTAATATTTTACTTGTATTATAAGAAGATTAAAATGATGATACTAGATGATACTTTTCATTTATTTTTCTTCAATGTTAAATTTAAATGTTTGATTTGCTAAAGCTTAAAAAAGGAAAGATATATCTGTAATCAAAGAGAATCTATATACCTAGTAGAGAAGACAAATAGCCACCCTTTTCTG